TATATATATTATAATTATTTTATATAGATAAATAAAAATATCACGTAGATAAACATTTATATTTTAATTAAAAAATAAAATTACATTATTACCCTTAACTCCCAATCCCTCTTCTTCCCCTTCTTTCTTTCTCTTTCTTTCTTTTCTACCCAGATCAATTGGGTTTCGACGAGTTGGGTAGCTGGGTTCGTCGAGCACTGCTTTCTGTGCTGCATCTCACTTCAAAACTTCTGCGCAGAAATTCCTCCAAACCCTCCGAAATCTCCCAGCTGTCGCTGATTACCTCCTTCGCAAAACACGAACATGAAATCCACTCCGATCCGATTGGATCCCGTCCGTCTCGATCATTTCATCCAATCTAATGTTTCTCACTTGCTGAAATCAGATCTCCTTGCTGTTCTCGCTTGCTAGTCCTGGTCGCACGAACCCAGCCTTGTTGGTCTTGGTTGCGCGAATCCGGCCCTACTGTCTGAAAAAATTAACAGATTCAAAAAATCATGTCGTATTCCGTCGCGGTATCAAGCTCCCCGGTCTTCTCTCCTTCCTCGTCTTTCTTCTGTAACAAAACCTCAATACTTTCTCCGTTAGCGGAGGCTCTTAATTTGACTTTAACCCACCTCAAACCCACATATTCTCCTTCTTCTCTGTCTCTGTCATCTTCGCCTTCATCGCCGTTTTGTATAAGGATTCAAAAAACGTCATTTGGGTCACTTCTCTCATCCTCATCTCCGTCTTCTTTGGGTTCCAGTGCGGGTTTTGGTCCCGGGTCGGTTTTGAAGAGGAAGAGGCCGGCTAGACTGGATAAACCGGTGGCGACTGTGCTGGCCTTTGCGACTTCGTTGATGGAGAGCCAGGAGAGATGGAGAGTGAAGGTGATGGGTATTCTGTTTATTGTAAAAGAGGGAGGAGAGAAGCTATGAGGGTAATAATGTAATTTTATGTTTAAATTAAAATATAAATATTTATTTACATAACATTTTTATTTATCTATATAACATAATTATAATATTTTTATTTATCTATATAACATAATTATAATATTTTTATTTATCTATATAACATAATTATAATATATATAATTGTCATGTCATCAAAAAAATTTTAAAAAAAATCAAATGGAATTATTTAATTATCACATCATGTTTAACTGATGGAAAAATAAAAATTGTGTAATTTTTAGAATTAAAAGATCAAAAAAGTAAAAAAAAATAATCTAAGGATCAAAAAAATGCAAACTTATAAAGTTGAGGGATCAAATTTAGCATTTAACATTTTCTTTTTCTTTTTTCCGACACGTGAAGGGTATCATTAAGTCCACATCAGCTGTTCCCGTTAAGTTAACGTGCCACGTGAGCAAAAATTAACGGAGGGACCAAAAAGGGGCCGGATTTGTGAACAGTAAGGACCAAAAAAGGGATTTTTTCGATACAGGGACCAAAAAGGGGCTTTTTCCTATAGTAGAGGGACCAAAAAGGGTATTTAACCCAAAATCTTATAACGACCAAATGTGCAAATTGCTTCTCAATATTTTCAAGTTGAAGTAGATTACTCCTTTTATCCCAAAATAACTGTTGTTTTTTGACTTTTTCACTAAACTAAAGATTCAGAGATAATATTTTTTTCAATCTACAATACCCTTAAAAAAGAAATAAAAGTTAAAGAGAGATTTTTTGTAATTGAAAGAATTAAGGGTGTGGATTTGTCTTTCTTTATTTTGTTAGGCTGTTCATCAATCAAACCACTTCTGTGGTGATCAATTCAAGATCCACTACTTTGCCTATCAAAAGTGTTAACAGCCTAACAAAATAAAGGAAGACAAATCCCCACCCTTAATTCTTCGAATTCCCTTTTCACTAGTTTGAAACCCTAGATCCACTCAATAACCCTAATCCTTACCATCTCAAATTGCAACAAACTATAATTTCCTTCAATCACAAATCCAATTACAAACCCTAATTCCTTCAATCGTCAAAACTAAACCCCAATTCATTGATCTAATTCAACCTCATATCCATCATGACCTATGATTTCCAATTTGCCTCTCGATCTATCCATAAATTAACCAAAGACTTTGACTTGGCAATCCTTAAACTTTAGAGAGAGAAAAATGGAAAAAAAAAGGTATCTAGGTTTGTTGGAACCCAAGGCTTCCTTCAAAACCAGAAGTTTGGAATCTAGTGACTAAGTTCTTAGGAACTCGGAGATTGTGCTAGGATGAGTTAAAGAGAGGAGAAGGGGGTGTAGGAAGAGAAATAGGAACTAGAGAGAAGATGACCATGATTCTAAAGTAAGTTTTGGACCTTTTGGTAACCAAGGAAGATGAAGACGATGAGGAGGAACAGATTGCATAATGGGAGGCAACCTTGTTCCATCTCTTAACTCATCCCACTTATATAACATGTAACTTAAACTCAGTACTTTTTACATTCAACTAAAAGAGATTGCCACTTATCTACTTAGGTCATTGGTATGGGATTATAAAATGGGGCCAAATGATGTGGCGAAGAAAAAATGGGAGAAAAGGCCACGTATAAATTAAATGGACAAGCATAAAGACATGTTAGTACCAAGTCATAAACAAAACTCTATTGTGTTTAAAATGCCACATAAGCTAATTGTTAACGGATTTCTGACTTCATTTAACATCACACATTAAATTTTTGGTCATCTGTCCAAGTGAAAAACTCTATGGGTAGATTTATTCTCGTTTTTTGTTCAGGGTAGATCCATCTCTACTGCTTAACTTTGAGAGTTGATTTGGGCATTCTAAGAATCTCTAGGTATATGGCTCTTGTTGCTGCATGTGGGTTCTACATGGTGGTTGAAAAAGGCATGCAAATTTTTAGCCTTTGAAATTTGATTGCATGAGAAATCTTGTGGTAGTCAAAAAGGTGTTGAAAATGCATTTAAAGTGCAGAGTTGAAAGTGATGGTTATTTGGCAAGATGGTGCAGCCGAAAATCTTGACAAAAATGGATTTTGCTTCTGCATGTATCCATGAAATTAAAGGTTAAGACTTTGAAGGCCATTGCATTTATTGTGCATGGTTGGATTTTGACCTTGCAGCCCATTTCATTAATTTTGGGTGGTGGATTTTTGGCTATAAAAGCCATTTGGCCATTCGGCAAAGCAACCAAGAAAGCAATCCAAAGCAAAGTGAGCTCTAGAAAATAAAAGAGTTTTGTGAGTGCTTTGGGTGAGGGTGAGCAAGAGCAAAGGGGTTAAAATTACTTTGCTGAGTATGATTTTTGAGTGTGTCTCGCATTCAAAAATACTGTGAGTAAGATTTCAGTGTAATTAGGGATTGTGTATTTTTCTGAAAGTATCACAAATTGTATCTCCTTATTTTAATAATGAATTTTTCCTTGTGAGTACCCGTGGACGTAAGCTCAATGAAATTGGAGCTAAACCACGTAAATTCTATCTTTCTTGTGGTGGTGCATTTTTTTATTCCATTACTTTCTTAATTTTGTAGTGAGTTAACCAAAATCCCAAGCAGTTTGTTCCAACAAACTAGTATCAGAGCTACAGCGGTGGTTAGTGTTTGAAAAATTGGTTTAATCATGATGGCATCTGGAGCCAAGTATGAGATTGAGAAATTTAATGTTGGCAAAATTTTCAGCTTATGGAGGTTGAAGATGCAGGCCATGCTAATACAACAGGGTCTGTGGAAAGCACTAGAAAAGGAAAGCAGGTTACCGGAAACTCTACTAGAGGAAGAGAAGATAGACTTGAAGGAGCAGGCACTAAATGCAATTCAGCTCTCACTTTCTGATGAAGTCTTAGGGGAGGTTGCAGAAGAAAATTCAGCTTCTGCATTATGGTCGAAGTTGGAAGCCCTTTACTTAACCAAATCAGTCACTAACCGATTGTATCTAAAGAAACGGTTGTTCACCCTTAGTATGAATAAAGGTGGTTCCATCAAAGACCATCTTGATGAGTTCAACAAGCTCATTTTAGACTTGAAGAATATCAATGTGAAGATAGAAGATGAAGACTAGGTAATTATTGTTTTGTGCTCATTACCTGACTCTTATGACAACTTTGTTGAAACTCATCTTCATAGTAGAGATCAACTCTCTATGGAAGATGTCAAGGTGGCCCTGAATTCAAGAGAATTGAAGAAGAAGGTGTTCAGAGACAAGAGTGGTGATCAAGCAGTAGGATTGGTCATAAACGATAGACAAAATAATAGAACTTTCAGCAAGCGAGGAAAGTCTCGATCCAAATCAAGAGCCAAGCATGCTCGATGTTACGAGTGTAATGAGACGAGACATTTCAAGAAAAATTGTCCCAAGCTCAAGAAGAAGAAAGTTGAAAAATCCGGTGATGCCAACATTGCCAGTTGCAGTGATCATTTAGATGATGAAGATTGTGTTCTATCTATCTCTACAAACTCCTCTGGTGAGGCATGGATTTTAGATTTGGGTTGTTCATTCCATGTATGCCCACGACGTGACTGGTTTGAAACATATAAACCAGCCACTAGCATGGTGGTTCTTGGTGATGATATAGCATTGCCTATTGTTGGAATTGGCAACATCTGGATCAAGATGTATGATGGGATGGTCAGAACATTCGAGGTTCGTCATGTGCTAGGTTTGAAGAAAAATCTCATTTCCATGAGTGAGCTTGACTCCAAGGACTGCCGATACTCCTGTGAAGCTGGAGTTCTTAAAGTCTCTAAATGAGCTCTTGTAATATTGAATGGGAAGAAAGTTGGTGGTCTTTATCACTTACAAGGAAGCACAGTCAATGGCACATGTGCTGTGTCAACTTCAAGCAGTCTAGATAAAGATGTAACTCGGTTATGGCATATGCAACTTGGGCATATGAGTGAAAGAGGGATGATGGAGTTAAGTAAGTGGGGTCTTCTATGTGGCTAGAAAATTAGCAAGCTAGACTTCTGTGAGCATTGTGTTTATGGCAAGCAGTGCAGGTTCCAGTTTGGCAAAGGAGTTCATTGAACTCAAGGCACAATTGATTACATTCACTCAGACTTGTGGGGTCCCTTGCCTGTTGCATCAAAAGGTGGAGCTGTGTATATGTTGACCTTCATCAATGATTATTCAAGAAAGGTGTGGATATACACCTTAAAGAGTAAGAGTGACGTGTACCTCACCTTTAAGCAATGGAAGACGCTAATTAAGAAGCAGAATGGAAAACAAATCAAGCGTCTAAAAACAGATAATGGTCTTAAGTACTACAGTGGTGAGTTTGATACTTTTTGCAAGAATAATGGAATTGTGAGACATCGCACTATTAGGATGACACCATAGCAAAAAGGTGTTGCAGAAAGGATGAATCGTACACTCTTGGAAAGGGCACGGTGTATGCTCTCAAATGCTAGATTATCAAAGGACTTTTGGGCAGAAGCTGTCAATCATGCTAGCTATCTTGTAAATCGGTCTCCATCCACAGCAATTAGATTAAAGACTCCAGAAGAATTATGGTTAGGTTCTCCTGCTGATTATTCACAGTTAAGGATATTTGGTTGTCCTGTGTATGCTCATGTTAGGGATGGTAAACTTGAGCCAAGGGCAGTGAAGTGTGTATTTCTAGGGTACGCTTCCGGGGTAAAAGGCTATAAACTATGGTGTGTTCAAAAGTCACCTCAGTTCCTCATGAGCATAGATGTAACCTTTGATGAGTCTGCTATGCTCCAAAAAGCAAAAGAGGAGTCAACAATTGCAAAGCCAGACCATGGAGTTAGCAAGCAGGTGAAGTTTGAAGCAACAACTCCAAAAAAGGCAGTGCGAGATGACAACATTGTCCAAGAGAATTTAGATGTGGTGCAAGATCCAGAGCTAACAGATACTCCAATGGAGGTGGAGGCACCTGAACAAACACAACAGCAGTATAATATTGCTATTGGTAAACAAAGGAGGGAGACCAAACCACCTTAGAGATATGGCTATACAAATTATGTTGCCTATGCTCTATCAATTATAGAACCAGTGGAGACTGAGGATCCCAACACTTACTGGGAAGCAATTACCAATAAAGAATCTCCTTATTGGCTTACTACCATGACAGAGGAGATTGAGTCTCTATATAAGAACCAGACATGGAAGCTTGTGAAGCCACCAAAGGGACAAAGAATTGTTGGATGCAAATGGGTCTTCAGGAGAAAAGAAGGAATCCCAAAGGTAGAGACACCCAGATTCAAGGCCAGATTGGTTGCGAAGGGTTTCACACAACGAGAATGTATTGATTTCCATGAGGTATCCTCTCCTATGGTGAAACACAGCTCTATCCGTGTTTTACTTGCCATGGTTACTTTATATGATCTTGAGTTGGAGCAACTTGATGTGAAGATTGCTTTCTTGCATGGTGAGTTGGAGGAACGAATTTCTATGTCTCAGCCAAAAGGGTTCGTAGTTTTAGGAAAAGAATATCATGTTTGTTTGCTCCAGAAATCCTTATATGGATTGAAACAGTCGCCTCAGCAATGGTACAAATGATTTGACAACTTCATGGTTAAGAGTAGATTCACTCGGAGCAACTATGATAGTTGTGTCTATCATAAAAAGCTTGGAGATGGTTCTTGGATTTACTTGTTGTTGCATGTTGATAACAAGCTTATTGTTGCCAAAAGCATGTTAATCATTGATGATTTGAAGAAGCAACTTAGTGGTAAGTTTGAGATGAAAGACTTGGGTGCAGCTAAGAAGATCTTAGGAATGGACATTCACAGGGACCGCAAGGGAGGTAAATTGTTTCTCTCTCAAAAGAAGTACATTGAAAAGGTACTTGAGTGGTTTGGCTTACATGAAGCTAAGGCTGTGACTACTCCTTTGGGAGCACATTTTAAGCTTTCATCAAATTTATCACCAGAAACGGAGGAGAAGAAGAAGTTTATGGCACGTATTCCTTATGCAAGTGTTGTTGGGAGCTTAATGTATGCTATGGTATGTACTCATCCTGATATTTCACATGCAGTTAGTGTGGTTAGTTAGTATATGGCTAATTCAGGTAAAGGACACTAGGAGGCTGTGAAGTGGATCCTCCGATATTTACGAGGCACAACATATGTTGGACTAGTCTATGATTGGAGTGCTAATTCGAGTGGAAATGTAGTCAGATTTGTCAACTCTGATTTTGCTGGCGATTTGCACAAAAGGAAATCAACTACAGGATATGTCTTTACTCTCTCAGGGTGTGCCATTAGTTGGAAAGCTACATTGCAATCAATAGTCGCCTTGTCAACAACTGAGGTAGAGTACATGGCAATTACTGAGGCAGTAAAGGAAGCATTATGGCTAAAGGGTTTGGTCAATGATCTCGGGGTAGAACAAAATGAGATGATGGTGTTTTGTGATAGTCAAAGTGCCACTCACTTGACGAAGAACACCATGTACCACGAGAGAACCAAACATATTCAAGTTCAGTATCACTTTGTCTGGGAGGTTATATCCAATGGAGATGTGTACGTTGAAAAGATATCAACTGACGAGAGTCCTACAAATATGATGACAAAGCCGGTAAGTGGAATCAAGTTCAAGCATTGCTTGGATTTGATTAGTGTCCAAAGTGCTTAATGCCCCTCGGGGCATATTGGCACCAAGGGAATGAAACTATTGGTCCTAAATCTTATTTTTTGAATGCTCACCAAGGTGGAGATTGTTGCTGCATGTGGGTTCTACATGGTGGTTGAAAAAAGCATGCAAATTTTCAACCTTTGAAATTTGATTGCATGAGAAATCTTGTGGCAGTCAAAAAGGTGTTGAAAATTCATGTAAAGTGTAGAGTTGAAAGTGATGGTTATTTGGCAAGATGGTGCAGCCAAAAATCTTGACAAAAATGGATTTTGCTTCTGCATGTATCCATGAAATTAAAGGTTAAGACTTTGAAGGCCATTGCATTTATTGTGCATGGTTGGATTTTGACCTTGCAGCCTATTTCATTAATTTTGGGCAGTGGATTTTTGGCTATAAAGCCATTTGGCCATTTGACAAAGCAACCAAGAGAGTAATCCAAAGCAGAGTGAGCTCTAGAAAATAAAAGAGTTTTGTGAGTGCTTTGCGTGAGGGTGAGTAAGAGCAGAGTGGTTAAAATTACTTTGTTGAGTGTGATTTTCGAGTGTGTCTCGCATTCAAAAATATTGTGAGTAAGATTTTGGTGTAATTGGGAATTGGGTATTTTTCTGAGAGTACCACAAATTGTATCTCCCTATTTAATAGTGAATTTTTCCTTATGAGTGTCCGTGGACATAGACTCAATGAAATTAAAGCTGAACCACATAAATTATGTCTTTCTTATGGTGGTGCATTTTTTTATTCCATTACTTTCTTAATCTTGTAGTGGGTCAACCAAAATCTCAAACAATCTGTTCCAACAGCTGTCTATACGTAATTGTCTATATTCGACTTCTTGACATCTGTCTAAAGCCAATGAGATTGAAGAGCCCTCCAACACCCCAACTTTAGAAGATTCGAAATAAAAACTTACTATCATGCTCATAGACTTCATCTACCATATCACAGAACAAAACAAACCCCCATAATTAGAGGGATGACATCGTACTAAGAACGACATGAAACCACCTCTTGTGGAGGTATCAAGCTGCACCATTAGGTAGAATAAGCCCTCACTGCCGGAGGGACAAAGCCACACTGAAGGGCGGCACAAACCCGCACGAACAGAGGGATCAAGTAGCATCAATAAAAGAATGGACAAAAAAACAATAAAGAACCCAACCGCTAGATGGACAAAGCCATCCTTGCGGCTTGGATGTTTATTCTTTCTCTTGGGGAACTGCAGCGTGCAGTAGGGTTTCTTTTGTGTTTTGTGTAGAAATATTCATACAGAGTAGTTTTAATTATAAATACTATTTTTTTTCTACATTAGACCCAAGCCATCATTGGAGAAGAATCTGCCGTTGGAGAATCTATCGTTGGGGAATCCGCCTTTGGTGAATCTGCCAGAATTTGGCCACGAAGTTGAACCAAAGCAGGAATAAATAGGAGCTGGTAAAGCATATGTAGATTGAGACGCTACTTTTTGCCACACATTCGTGCCAGCATGTAAATCATGTTAAGCAGCTACGATAATACGGCTGCGAATTCGATACCAAACCCTCTACTCCACTTCAGGTTGGTGATTATACCCTTAATTTTTTTTCACTGGCAAAGTACTCCCTATACTTGTTGATCTAGGCAAATTGGCCTAATTTACTTCATAGATGAAATCTTTTGATATCATCTATCACATTTTCATTTGGACCATTAATTAACACCTCTGTCTTCCCTGTTAGTTTTTTCTTTTTTCCTTCTCCTTGACTTTGAGACTAAGTTTTTCAACAACAAAAAATAATAATAATAATAATAAAACAAAACAAAATTCTAGGTTATATATATATATATATATACAAACTAACGGGCAGACGAAGATGGTAACAAATCAAACAAATATGTGACAAATTGATGACTTCATATGATGTCACCTGTGAAATAAGGGCTAATTGGCCAAATAGACGACTAGAAAAGGTAATTTGCTAGTAAAAAAAAAATTAAGGAATTGATCATCAACCTGAAGTGGAGTATTGCATAATTTGCCTTATGAAGTTACTAGTTCGACCAAGGAATCGAGAAAGAGTTTCCTTCCACTCAATTTTTATTTGAGATTTTTGAATATTTGTGCTTTAATCACAAATTATTTTATTGTTTGATTAACAAAATATGAAACTATAAAATCATAAAATTTTAATAATAGAACATTTTTTTATATTTCTTTAAACTAATATCTAAAGACGTTCTTAAACTCAAAGTTTTAGAACCACATTAATTTCAATTAAAATTAAAATTAAAAAAAATGCATTCCCCCAAAAGTAGTATAGTGACTAAACATCTTAAAATGATAGTAGTATTAACTTGGGCCTTATCTAATCTTGTGTCGTTGCTCTTTTTATGGGCCACGTTGCCACAGAGTCTCAATAGAGAGATTATTTTGGATGTGCACCCCTTTTTACTAATTTAACAAACTAAAATGCCCATTTTGGAGTTTTTCAATTAATAAAAAATAAATCATCACCACCCCAACCTAATGGCTGAGATTTTTGGTCAAATGGGAATCACATTTCGTGAGTTAGTCTTCAAGCCTATGGATGACATTTCCCCCTCCCCCAATTGCCCTGTTCAAAAAAAAAATTAATGAAAAACAGAAGATGTTTCTCTGCCTAGTTAGCTAAGCCCGATCTACATTATATCTAAATATTTTATTCAACATAGATCGTATGACATAATTTTGTTAAAGAGTTATTCAAGAATTGATTTGTATTAATATTATATAAAATATTGGACTCGATCGTAATATTATTGTTTTATTCAAATTTTTAAGATTAATTGAGAATAAAAATTAAAAGTAGGCTTGAAATATAAGAAATTATTTTAGACATCATTTAGATTCAAATAAACTAATAATATCTCAAAAACGTAGTAAATTTGAAAAGAAGACAACTTATTTATATTCAAAAACTACATGAGTCGCTATCAAAAGTTCAATTTGCCTTTTTAGCCTCCTTTGCTCCCACAAATGCACATGTGGTCTTAACCGGAGAAGGGACCGTAGGCTTGTTTGGAAAAAGTATAGGCCAACAATTGTCACCAAGGGCAGTCGTAGCTTCGCAACATTCTTCTCCCAAGCCCGCAAAATTATTAATGGAAATCACCTCTTTTATCACATCGATGCATCCTCGCACACTCCTTAAAGACCCTATCAATGTTTTTAAACCTGAATCAGAGGTCAAATCATTTTGACCTTTAGTTCGCAGTTTGAACGATTTAATTGGTTTAATTGATAAAACCACCAAGTTGATCAAAATACTATAAATGTACTATTATGCAAAAAAAATGCAATGATAGGTAACTGATTTATTATAGAAGAGATCACATATTTAAGTCCCTTGAAAACAAACTTTAATATAATGGTACTTTTAAAAATAGAATAAATATATTGTAAAGCATAAAATCGAAAATAGAAGATTGTGTATCAAGTGGAAGAATCTTTATTGTATAACATGAAGAATGAGTGTTCAATTCTCAAGGTTGACATCAATAATTTAATTAAAATCTTTGAGATTTCTATGAGATAAATAAAATTCCAAGCATTCAATAACACAAGGATTGCATTGTTCCAATGGCAAAAGATTGGAGTAAGGATTTTAAGGTTGCAAGTTTAAACCTCACGAGAGACAAAATTCTCAAAACTTTATGCCAAGCATTGAATCCTCTTGTCAAACAGTTTACTAGTTTGAGCGATTTCAAATGCTTTTAAAAGTGTACCCAAATCATTTATACTACTTAGTATCGATCAATCGGTCTGACTAACCAATCAAGGCCAGTTTTCAAAACTATGGACCCTATGCAATCTAAAATGTTGTTTGGCTTCATCACAGTTTCCTGTGTTTCTTCTGCAAGCGCCGGTGGTAAAACTAGCACTGCAATGCATTCTAGCATCCACATAACAAATGTTTTTGAGGACACAGTCTCCATGAGAAATTTTAAGTTTATTGAAGTGTTTATTGTAGTCCCTAGCATGAAATTTTGATGGAATTAATAGTATTTCTAAGGGAAAAATTATTTGGGATCAAAGATTTTTTTTTCTTAAATAATGGATTTTGGTTACTACACATGATTCACACTCCATATACCATTTTTTCTTTTCTTTGCGCTATAAACTTCATCTATTATTGTTATTATTTTACAATTAAGGAGTTTTTAAGGCAGATTTTGTCAATTCTAAAATAATCCCTTTTTAAATGATCTTAAAAACATAACTTGACATTAATTTTGTGCATTTAAAAAAAATTAAATTTTCATTATTACATAGCTTCAAGATTCGAACACTAAATATAATTAACGTACAAGAATGATAATCGCTTACAAGTGAAACCAAGAGTTGACCAATTAATTAATCTCCATTTTCGTTACCTAATATAAGTGTCGCTTCTTATGATAGATTTTTTTTTCCTTAGTGATATTCTCCATTGAATTTTTTTGGTTTATTTAGGTTGTTATTTACAAATTTAAATTTCAAATACTTACTTTTGTAATGAGTCAAATGATATCATCTTTAGTATTCTTGCCATGCGAATATCTTAATTGTTATACAAAATGTTATCAATATTTGTTTACAAAAATAAAAATAAATATTTTCTAAGATTATTCTTTTTTTAAGTCTAAATAAATCATTCATAAAAATAAAATAAAATTAAAAAAGCAAATCACGCATGGCTTTTTATGTACATAAATCATTTTCAACATCTAATCCAACTTTTATAAATTGGCAATTTATAGAACTCAGCCCCTCTACTCCATTTCAAGTTGACGATTACCCCTTTAATTTTTTATTGGCAAATTACTCACTCTATCTGTTGATCTAGGCAAATTGGCCCTTATTTCATGGATGACACCATTTAACATCATCAATACATCACATTTCTGTTTGTTCCATTAATTAGCACCTTCATCTGCCCCATAAGTTTTTTTTTTTTTTAACCTGAAGTTTTTCTCTTTATTTTCCCTTCCCCTTGACTCTAAAACTAAAATTTTCAATATAATTATTTACTAACCAAATTATTAACTGATTCTAATAGCCACACCAAACAAAGTAAATATTTTAAAAGACAAAATTTGAATATTTGTGTGAGCCTAACACTTTATT